TTGATTTATCTTCCGACCATTCCCCAATTCTTTTAACCTATTTTTCAAGTCCGATTCCTGTTTATCGGCCTTGCAGTTTATTCAATAAATTTACTGACTGGAACAATTTCAGAAACATTATAAATTCAAAAATTAAGCTAATTCAACGCCCGAAACTCGCTGATGAAATTGATAATCAAGTTTTGTTTTTGAATAAAACTATCATTGACGCATGCGTTGAATCAACACCAAGTATCCCACCACGAAAAGATAATCAAGTAATACCATCCGACATAAAAAGATTAATAGCTGCAAAGAGGAAGGCCAGGCGGAGGTGGCAACAAACTCATTGGCCGGAGGACAAAAGTAGTTTTAACCAAATTAGCAATAAATTAAAGAAAATCATCGCCATTTGGAAGAATGATTCCTTTAATTCATATGTTTCGCAGCTAAATAGATATGATGCCTCTATTTGGAAACCTATAAAGAACAAACATAAACCTGTAATGTCGAAATCGCCTCTCAAAGTTTGCTCTCAGAACCACATAACTTGGGCTAAAAGTGACGCTGAAAAGTGTAAAGCATTCGCAGAATACTTGATTGATGTTTTCAAAAAACAAAACTTGTCACCTGAAATTGAAATATTGAATGCGCTTCAAGGAAATTGCCAAACGTCTATGATAAGACCTTTTAAACCAAGTGAAATCAAAAATAAAATCAAAGTTATCAAATCAAAATCAGCCCCCGGAAACGATCAAGTTTCTCCTAAAATGTTAAAAGAACTTCCACCAAAATGTCTATTATTTATCACATCCATTTTCAACTCCATTCTTCAATTTAACTACTGGCCATCTGTTTGGAAGAATGCAAAAATCATAATGATCCCAAAACCAAACAAAGATTCATCTGACGTAAAATCTTATAGACCTATAAGCCTGCTTCCATCCCTATCAAAAGTATTCGAAAGATTAATTTTACAAAGACTACTAGAAGATCATCCCGAAGAATCCTGGATACCTAACCATCAATTTGGTTTTAGAAGACATCACTCAACAATACAGCAATGCAACAGAATAACCAACTCAATCCTCACAGCCCTGAATAAAAAAGAATTTTGTGTAGCAGTTTTTCTAGACATCAGCCAGGCCTTCGACAAAGTTTGGCACATGGGATTATTATATAAATTAAAGAAAACATTTCCAAAATATTTCACAATTTTGGAATCTTACTTATCAAATAGAACCTTTCAAATTAAAGAAAATGAAGAACTCTCGCCTCCAAAACCAATTCATTCCGGTGTTCCGCAAGGCAGTGCTCTCAGTCCAATACTATATTTGCTATACACCAGTGATATGCCACTCGATCCGACATTAACGATAAGCACCTATGCTGATGACATTGCTATAACCTCAAGTCATGAAGATGTAACAACAGCTACTTTTTTACTTCAAAATTACCTGGCGAAAATAGAACTATGGCTAAATAAATGGAACATAAAAACTAACGCTAAGAAATCTCAACACCTCATCATTTCACTGAGAAGTCACACAAGTCCTGACTTGTATTTGAACAAGACAATTATACCAAACCAGGATTCCGTAAAATACCTGGGAATACATTTAGACAGTAAACTAAATTGGAAAACGCATATTTTAAAGAAAAAAAAACAAATAGATTTGAAACTGAAGGAAATAAACTGGCTAATGAGAAGATCATCTAAACTGTCTCTAGAAAATAAACTCCTCTTATACAAAGCAATAATAATCCCAATATGGACTTATGGGATAGAGCTATGGGGCTGCGCCAGCAAGAGTAACATTCAAATAATCCAGAGAGTACAAAACAAAACTCTGAGAATGATTTGTAAGGCTCCGTGGTTTATGACCAACCACATGATCCATAAAGACCTAAAAATTCCAACAGTGGCGGAAGTTATTAAGAACAGAAGTTTTATCTTTCAAAACAAATTGGATGCACACGTCAATCCGGAAATGCAAATAGTACAAACAGCCGAAAAATTAAAACGCCTGAAAAGAAAATGGCCCAGTGATCTACCGTCAACAACATAATTTCCCTGTTTCGCACAGGAAAATTTTCAAACAAGTTATTTTTAATTATTATTTATTATTGATTATCGTTTTTATTATTAATACTATTATTTTAATTATTATTTATTCATTCATTTATTCTATTTCTTTTCTTGAATTTCCTTTATTCTATTTTTTTTTCTTTTTGATTTTGATTTTCAATACCATAACTTTTAACTTATAGATTGTATTGTAATCTGATTGTAAAAATTAACAGAAATAAAAAAAAAAAAAAAAAAAAAAAATTTTATTTATTTATTTTTCTTCATTTGTATTTTTTTTCTCTTTTGTTTCTTTTTGTGATTATTTTTTTTATTATTATGTGTAATTTAGCCATCCCATACAGCACGGGTCAAACAATGATCAACTTGTTTGGTTCCATTTACAGCCTACCGGGTTATTATAAGCCCATTATGGGCCAATTTATAATCCAGCGGGTTTAGGCCCATGCGTTACCCGCTGAGTCAAACAATGGTCGACCTACTCTTACCCATTACTCAACTTATAAAGTCTTATAACTTATAAAGTCTGTATATAACTCTGATTGTTATATAATATGGAATGAATAAAAAAAAATAGTAACAAATCTTGAAACAAAGGCAAACCAACATTTAGTCCATGGACTACTCTCATGTACGTAAGTAGTCGAGTGAATGTTGTCCATGGACAACACTCGTTGCTCGTACTTAATGAGAAAACATTGTGACCATAATATTATTATAAATTTATAAAGAGATTTATAATACGGATACGAACAATAATACGGATATGATACCAGTTACTTAGGTTGGTTTACTCTGCAAGTGTTCAAAAGTAAGACAGTTAATTGAAGCACACGTGAACAAAGCCGATAACAGATTTTATTGAATAGATAATACAAAGTAACGTCATAAAAATATGAAGGTCTTATAGGACATATTGAAACTAGAACTTTCTTTTTAAATGGTTTTAAATTAGAAGTAAATATTCATTCAGAGGTCAATATTTTTGATTTGTTTACAATAATTGTTTTTGTTTTTATTTTTATTTTGTTTATTTTGATGCACATGGTATGGTTAATAAAAGTTTTATGCTGACATCATTTTTTATGGTCTTGTGCTAATAACCAAATAATAGTAAATTATGCTTTGAATTTAATCATAAGGGCTTTTCTGTGGCTCAGTGATAACTACTTTGGTCTTGTAATTGATATCAAGCAGTAGTAACATCTGTTTTCACTTGAAAATATTGTGACAAGAAAGGGTTTAAGGTTTAAGTCCGAAAATTTGAAAATTGCGATGATATACTTTAGAATCGCTATCCCCAAACCTGAGATTACCTTATTAGCATCGTATACTCGCCCAGATATATTTCGAAGTTATTGAATTTTCAAAATCGGTTCAGTATCTATTGGACGAAAGTATGAACAAAAATGCGTGCTTTTCTTTAAAAACAAATTTTAAGAAGCGTCTCGGCCAAAACTGTTCAGGTTGTTTTTAAATTTTTTAAATCGGTGCAACCGCTTTTGAGAAAGCCGCAAATAAAGATTAAATTTTGGCTCAAAACGATTTATTACGAAGAAACACAAGACGTTTTATTTACTGTTTCTTAACCATAAAATAAAACCGCTTAAATGTGAAGTTGCAAATTTTATCAAGATTTCTCTTTGAACAATTTCATGTTTTTAATTAAATTGTATCAACCATCCATTTTACTTTTAGATAAGAAATCCATCTCCACTTTGAATTTTAAATCAAATTTCAATATCGATTGTGCGTTATTATGTGAATGTTCTATTGCAGCTCTACTCACAAGTCAGTCACATTAATAGATAAAGTATAAATAAGTATGTAAGTACACTTATATTGTAACAATATAAATAAAAACATGCCGCACATGGCACGGTATCATTTCAATAATTAATGCAACCATGAAAACTGGGACGGGAACTAAATTGTTCCAGATAAAGCACTATATGCTAAGGTCATTCACTCAATGGAAATTTTACATCAAATGATCAATTACCAAACACGAGACACGTTTTTTTCACGTCTTACAATTAGACAAGTTTAACAATACTTTGGAGAATAAATGATACGCAAAATCTAAGTAAATAAATAAGCGTTTCAATCAAAATAAATATTAGAAAACAAATCAAAATCGTTCCCAAATTTTTATTTTTACTTTGCGATGTTTTTCGCTTCGGATCGCCAATATCGATAATTATTATTTCCAATATTAATATTGATTTTTTGCTAAATTTCTAACAGTTTTTCTAAGTATTAAAAACTTGAAATAAAAATATATTGATTATATACATTTATTTATTATTGAATCTGTTTTTAATATTAAATTATCAGCATATCATTTTCAATTTGTGGACCCCAAAATTTATTTTCGTTGCAAGTTATCATAAACCCTTGCTATCACAGATCACTTTAAGAATTACTGATCTATATCATTACTAATAAATTATGAATGTTTTATAATAGTTTAATAAGCTTTCATTTTAAAGGAATAAAATATGTATTATTTTAATAGTCTTTCGACAATTAAATAGTACCAACAAATAAGTATTTATGATAATTAAAAATAAAACGATTTAAAAAGAAAATATGTTTATGAAAGGTCAAACCATTTTCAAAATTGACTGTACAACTTTACAAATAATCAAAACTATCAAGCAAACGTATTTAAACAATCAAATCAACTTGAAAATGGTAAATTTTGAAAAACTCGATTAACAATTGAATCAAATTGCAAGTAACAATTAAAATGAATAGATCTTCTATCTTCATTATTATAGTTATCAAAATCCACTACTTTGCAAATTTTTTGCAATTTGCATATTCTTCAAATAAAACAGAATATTGAATTACATCAAAATACAATCAGCAATATTTTATTATTAAAATTATTTTTGTAATACAAATTATTATTAATTAATTGTAATATCTATTTATAGAAATCATGTTCACTCTCATCTTTCTTTATGTTATTTTTGTAACCTTTCTCAAAATCTTTAGCCAGAACAATATACCTAAAAAATTAAAGAAAAATATGCAATATAATTTACTGCTTTTCTATTTCTATTGAAATTGATTTTATTGAATACATACCTATTTTCTCGGACAGCATGCATACCAGCTTCTTGGCAAATAGCATTGATATCAGCGCCCGAAATACGATCAGGTCTTGCTACATAATCCTCTAAATCAACTTCCTCTGAGAGATTCATTTTAGCTGTGATTGTTGAGAAAACTAAACGCTTTTGCCTTCTATCAGGTAGTGGAAACTCGATCTTTCGGTCCAATCTATTTGAAAAAAAAAGTAAATATTAAATAAATAGAATTGAATTCGTTCTTCTATATGCATTAACAATGTAATTTTTGTTTGGTAATATAATGTGAAGTAGTTGCGAAAACTTAAAATTTACAATGACATAACCATATCTGTGAATCGAGTTTGCACCAAACATATTTCCACATTTTTGAATCTGCGGTTTTATTTATTTAATTTAAAATTCTATTTACCTTCCCGGTCTCAATAAAGCAGGATCCAATGTATCAGCTCTGTTTGTAGCCATTATTACTTTAACGTTAGTAGTCTGATCAAAACCATCCATCTGATTCAGCAACTCCAAAAGAATACGTTGAACTTCTCTATCAGCACCAGTTTGCGCATCAAAACGTTTTGTGGCAATAGCATCAATTTCATCAATAAAAATTATAGCAGGACTATTTTCTTTAGCTAGACGAAATACATCTCTCACCATGCGAGGACCTTCACCAAGGTACTTCTGTACGAATTCAGATCCTGAGAAAAAATAAAACTGCTTAATGCCACATAGTTGAATTTAAAAGTAATCAGATCAGTCCCACTTTTTTTTTAAACAACATTGATATATGGGTGATTTATAATAATATGAACTTTCTATATTAAATATTTCATAATTCATAATAACTACCTCAAAATTAAAACCGGCAGTTGAACATAACTATACATAATGATAAATGAATTAGTATGATTTCAAGTTTTTAAATAAACAGATGAAAAAACTGACAGCAAGGTCATATTGTTTTGATTAATCAAAAAATTATCTCCAGTTATACAAAAAATACACTGATATGTATTTAAAATTAAATGCTCGAGTTATTCAAAATAATCAAATTATATAATCTATAAGAAGTATGGGAATATTTTGATAGTATGAACATTATAGTTGACCTACATTGCTATTAATGATGTGCAATTAGTATATTTAAAAAATAATTTCTTATTAATGAAAATATATTAGTGGCAAATTAAAATACTACCTAATGTTACCAATAAATGATCAATACTTTCATTTTATTTTTATCAAAATAAAAACAATAACATACAAAAGAGAAAGTACGAAAATAGCTGACAGCTTACCAACTACTCTGATAAAGGCTGCGGTAGTGTGATGTGCAACTGCCTTGGCTAACATAGTTTTACCACAACCGGGTGGTCCGTACATCAAAACCCCTCTTGGTGGTTCTATACCAATCTGTTTGTACAATTCGAAGTGTGTTAATGGCAGTTCTACAGCTTCACGAATTTCTTGTTTCTGCATATCCATTCCACCAATATCACTGTATTGTACATCTGGTTTTTCATCAGCTTGCAACATAGAAATTGAACTGTCTGCCTCTGGAGGCAGCACATCGACTAATGCATTACTGTGTTTGTGTAAAGCTACACTTGCAGATGGTTTAAGAAGTTCCCTATCAATCGTAGACAAAATGCGTACATAGTAATTGGATCCTGTTGTACTGCCAACAATGCCTGTGTTTTGATCTACTGCTTCTAAGAATTGGCCTATGACTAAAGGAACAGATTGTATACGCTTAACTTCTTCTTGGGCATGGAGATATTCTTTTTTGAGGTTTCTTTGTTCATCTTTTATGTACTCTTCTTGAACTTCGAGAAATTCAAGCATACGTTGGAGTTTCTGAAGATTTATGATTATGTTAGCATAAAAAATATATTTACGTACTTTATGATAATGTGCTTACTTTATATTTGGTATATAAATCTTCTGTGTCTAAATCTTCCAAAGATTGCGTTGTTTCCTTAACAATTTTTGAGTCAGTAACCTCGTCCTAAAAGAAGTCCAGGTTATATATTAAAATAAAACAAAAAACTAAGTTATTTTCTGCGTTTAGCTTATTATCCATATTATTATAAATCACCTTATCGGGTAATGAAATACCGATTTCTTCCATTTTACTTAAATATGATCAACTTTGATTAAATGACTTGTAGATTTTTAAAGATTTGTCTTGATGACAATCGCTTCAGCTAGCTTCAGCATTTTCGTTAATGCCAACATTAAAATTACAAAAACATAGTGGTACTACTGTTGACAAGATGGCGCTAATGTATTTTAACAATTTTATTCCCGTTGGCACTCAGCTAACTGAAAAATCTCATCTCAAAGATTGTGTGTTAAAATAAGTGTTTTTTTTAAATACGTGTATCAATTTATAAACTTAATGTTATATAATGAAATGCAATATGAAAAGATGTTATTGGTTGTTATAAATGTCAAAAACTAGAACTGGCTATGACAAGGAGTAGTTTGACACAACATTTTTTAATTAGACGTAAGTGACATAAATTTTTTTTTTTTTTTTTTTTTTAATTTTTATTTTCAATAGCAATCAGAATACATAACTATTCTATGAGCTATTTGGCTTATGTCATTCACTCACACACATACACACACACTTGCAAACACACATATAAATTTATCGGATCAATATTACAATCATATTCAGAGAATCACTTCAATAAATGATTCAATTATTCTGTTTATATAAGGTTGTGGTAGTTCTATGGTTCCTCCATATTATCTTCGGGCAGCTTCTTCTTCAGTCTTCTTGAAGTTGATGTCTCAAGAAGCTGAGTGACTATATTGTTTGAATGATGTTGTAGTTTTTGAAAGTGTTTTATACTGTTGATTTGTATTATTTTGTTTATAAAATCAATATGAAGATCGTCGTGTAAAGTTTTGTTACTAACAAACCACGGAGCATCAGTAATCTGCCTCAATATTTTCGATTGGGCACGTTGCATTAACGCTATATTGGATTTGCTTGCACAGCTCCACAATTCAATGCCATAAGTCCATATGGGTTTTATTATTGCCTTGTAAATTAGAAGTTTATTGTCAATGGATAAAATTGACTTGCGTCCCAGTAGCCAGTATAGTTCAGCGATTCTAATTTTTATAGTATTCAATTTGGCGCGAATATGGTCCTTCCACGTGAGCCTACGATCTAAATGCATACCTAAGTATTTGACGCATTCGGTGCTTGGAATTGCTTGGCCATAAAAATGTACTCCTGGGCATGTTGTCTTGTTCAGTGTAAATGTTATATGACTAGACTTGCTCTCATTTATTTTTATTCTCCATTTTTTTGTCCACTCCTCTATAACATTTAGATGCCTTTGTAAAATTAGCGTAGCCTTAGATGCATCAGCATGTGTCGAAAGAATTGCTATGTCGTCAGCAAATGTAGCTGTTGTGGTTGATTGTAAAGTTGGAAAATCACTAGTGAAGAGGATATATAAAAATGGCGCTAAAACACTGCCTTGTGGAACTCCTGCCTCAATCTGATGAGATATTGAAGTTTCAGTGTTTACCCGTACTTTGAATTTCCTATTGGCGAGATAAGATTCTAGAATATTATAATAACCACATGGAAGTAGCGATCTAATCTTCAATAAAAGTCCCTTGTGCCACACCTTATCGAAAGCCTGGCTCACATCTAGAAAGACTGCAGAACAGAATTGTTTGGCCTCGAAAGTATTGCTGATGACTCTTACGATTCTGTGGCACTGTTGAATTGTGGAGTGTTGACTCCGAAAGCCAAACTGATGTTCTGGAAATATATTCGCGCTAGTTAAGATATGTTGAAGCAGGAGTTTTTCGAGCACTTTTGAAACAATTGGTAGAAGGCTGATTGGTCTATATGAGGTAACCATATAAGGATCTTTTCCGCTTTTATGGATCATTTTTACTACAGATGTTTTGTAGAGAGTTGGCCAATAATTTAATCTAATTATTGAGTTGAATATATACGTTAGAAGGATGAATCCCTTCTTTGGCAGTTCTTTCAACATTTTTGCCGTAACTAAATCGTAACCTGGAGATTTATTATTTTTTAGTTTACTAATCTCTTCAATTATAATCTTTAATGAAAAGAACTTTATACTGTTCATTGAGTTGTAAGAAGGAATCATATTTGAGTTAAGGTCCGCTGCGTTAGAGTAATCTGGGTTCGGTTTGAAAACTGTACTTAAATAATGAGCAAATAAATTAGCTTTTTCTGCATCACTCCTAGCCCAAGATAGGTGATTGCTGTCATCCCATCTAACAGGCGGATTTTGAATACGTGGTTTTAGTTTGTTTTTAATTGGTTTCCAGATTGAGTTATCAAATCTATTTAGGTTTGATACGTAATTGTTGAAGTTTTGGTTAGAAATTTCTTTCAATCTGGATTTTAGTTTATTGCTTAAGTTATTGTATATGTTCTTATCTGATGGAAAGTGAGTTGACTGCCATTTTCGTCTTGCTTTCCTTTTCTCTGAGATTAAATTTTTAATTTCAAAAGATAGAGGTTGATCCTGTTGAACTATTGTTTCTGGAGTAGCAAGTAAAGCAGCATCATGAAGTGTTTTATTAAATTTGTCAATAGCTGAGTCAACTTCCGATGAGTTCTTAAGACTAATTTTGAGATCAGTATTGTTTTCTATTTTGCAGCGGTATAGTTCCCAGTTTGTTTTTCTCGAATGAAGTCTATAAGGTTTACAAACATTGATAACTGAAGAACAGATAGTAGCAGTTATAGGTGAGTGATCTGAAGAGAGATCGTAGCTTGAATGAACTTCTGTGTACCTAGAGTTTAAGCCTTTCATTATGAAGAAATCCAATAAATCGGGCTTCTTCATTGGGTCAGTTGGATAAAATAAATAACATAAAATTTAAACTGTTTATTTCGAAAACAAAATTTTCACCTTCACTATAAACTAATAAATGCTATTAATATCATTATATTTTAATATATTTTCTATTGTTTTAATTATATTTGTTATAGTGCACACAAACACGCGCTTATGAAATATAAATGATTTTTTTATAACCAATTTAAGCGTACAATGTTTGAAGATGTTAGTTTATATAATGAACTCTATCATTGTCTATGTTAATTTTAATTAAAATCCCATACAATTTTACTATTTTATTACGAAAAAAGGGCCCAACCGATCTTTACCAAAAACTAAACTGCACGATTCCTAACCAAGATCTTATGAACAGTTAAAATCGGTTCAGAATTTTTGTCTTGAACGATTCAGAATGTCGTGAAACGTCGAGAAAACAAAATTAGCAAGTCGAATTTCCTGCCGAAAAGAAACTTTCGGGAAGTTAAAAAAGCTTGAATAAATTATAATACATACTTTGGAAAATATTCAAATTGACAATAGTTAAATTCACAGGTTTCCAAACTATTTTGTGTTGTGGACCACTTATTCATATACTCTTCTTTTATCTATGCACTTATTTACCCGACCTTGTTTTTTTATATATAGAATTATACAATATTTTTTTTATTTTTTAGGTTCATTATAAATGCTGTATATGACTTTATTTACGATAGTATAGTATAAGTGAATATCTATTAACATGGTGTATTGTGGTCCACCATCTATCCGTTTGCATTTCTTGGTTCTTATTTACCCAATATTGTTTTTTTTTATATATCTATAGAAATATTTTTTACTTTCTGGGTTTATTTATAAATGTTGTATATGACTTTATTTGCAATAGTATCCTATAATTAAATATCTATTAATATGGTGTGCGCACCACCTATCAATTTCCATTTCTTGGTTCCCAAAATTTTTGTCTTGCTAACGTGAACCCCTTGAAAATCGTCATGGATTCCTGGCACCACTTTGGGAATTATTGATTTAAATCCATCATTATTTATTATTAAACTATTTTGTGTTATAGACCCCTTATTTGCTCAATATTGATGTTTTTGTATATCTATAGAAATATTTTTCACTTTCTTGGTTTATTTATAAATGTTGTATATGACTTTATTTCCGATGGTATATTATAAGTAAATATCTATTAACATGGTGTGTTATGATCCACCACATATCCATTTCCATTTCTTGGTTCCCAAAATTTTTATTTTACTAACGTGAACCCTTTGAAAATCGTCAAGTCATGGATCCCTGGGAGACATTGGGAATTATTGGTTTTTAAATGAATAATTGTAGCATATTGTAATTATTTCACATATAAATGCATTATATTCATATGTGAACAACATATTTAAAACAAAGAAATAGGTGTCATCTTTTCTCATTTGCTTGTTGTTTCTGTTAACAATGATTCTCAAATCAATTATATGGTTCACATACTCATTTATAATAAAATATGTTACTTACTTTAAAAATGAATAAATAGTAGCTTAAGATGGTCTATAATAAGATGAAGATGACCTTAACATGGCATTATTGTTAAATTCGTACGTACATAGATAGTTATGACTACAATATGTAGATAGTTATGGCTACAATAATTATTGCATTATTTTTATTATGTGGATTAAATATGGAGTAAATGCACGTATAATTATATATAGTAATTATTACTATATATGTAATATATAATTAATTGCGTCCAATTAGCTGTGAATTACACATGAACTTTCTTCCAACTTATGTAAAATTAGATGCTTGAATAACGACTTATGCGAAAAATATGACAAGTAATCGCGTGATGCATTCTATAAAAATAATTAAAGCTCAATTATCTTAATAATCATTTTCCTAAATCTCACTTCACGAAGTAAATTAAATAATAATGTTGCATTGTATAATACTTGTATGGTGCGATAATTAGAAAACTTTCTGCGTTGTGGGTTGTTCTAAATATTATGTAAAATAATAATGATTTTATTTCTACTTTGTTGCATAGTTTAAAAGAAAAATATCTTACTTACCACAGTCGGAATAAATTTATTGAGTACGATTTTAAATTTTAATTTGATGTTGCGTAAGAAAATGGAAACGTGAAAATCGCAAACGGGAAAGATCTTTCCCTTTACAAACTCGAGTTTCCCAAGTTTTGTAAAAAAGCTTCCTCGAGTTTGTAAAAAAGAGAAATGAAAAGTTGCTGCTACTTTGAAAGATATAATATAGTTGATTAGATTAGATTTGATTTGATTTGGTTTTTAATCGAGTTGCAATAATGCAAATTCTTATTCAAAAGAAAACGAAAAGTTAGGAAACAAAAATGAGAAAAGTTAGTATAGTGAGACATGGATCATCATGTTTGGACAATACAACAGTGACGAAAAGTATTCTGAAATGCATATTTAGATAAAGCGTTCCCTATTTAAGACCTTTGAAGTAGTGGGTTGATTATATAATAAATAAATCAAAAATGTATTTTTTGTGATTATTAAAAAAAAGTCAACGATACGTGGTGTTCCCAAGCGGTCTCCCATCTAAGTACTACCCACGCCCGATGTTGCTTAACTTCGGTGATCGGACGAGAACCGGTGTATTCAACATGGTATGATCGTTGACGATTTAAAGTAAACTTAAAATGTTTAAATACCCATCAGTATCCTCGTTGTCATCAGTGTTTGAGGTTTGTTTTCCTGTTTCATCATCATTTCTTAAACCAAATCAATCTATAAATAAAATTCTTCTTCATTTATGGTAGAAAACTCGGTTTCATTAACAATATAATTTAAATAATTTACATCGTCGCTTAATAAATCTGTACTTTCAGTTAAACTATCTAATTGCTCAATTGATTGTCTACATTTCATCCAGAAGCTATAAGATTCAATTAGTTTACTGAAACAACCATTACAAATATGTTTCGGGTAAGGGTTGTCGTTAGGTCCGGATTTAGAAAGTTGGCGCCCTGGGGCACTGATAAAAATGCCGCCCCATGCCTGAAATTTTACTTAAATTGTTTTTATATATTATTTCCGTATCTAAAATTAAAATAAAAAAATCATTTTCAGTAAATTTCAATATACATATAAAAAAAGTTTTTTAAGGGGCATTTTTTTTATTTTTCTAAAAATTTTAAAATGTAATTTTCAGTACGAGAAGTTTCAGTAATTTGCAGTAATTAATGGAACAATGCCATGCGTCACTAGTTTAATTTTTTCTCGGCGCTATAAGCTTGGAACTGCACTAATTTGTCATCCTAAGAGGGCTCGAGATCTGAAGAACATATTTTTCTAAAACTTTCAGCTCGTTTACGTATTAAATAGCAAAAATGCTGCTAAAACTATATTACTGAAGTATCAAGCTTCATATATGGCATAATTTACAAGTAAAAAAAATTAAATGTACTATTATAAATTTTTTTTAAAAAAATGACGGCGAGCAACTTAAAAAAATTTTTCAATTTGTAAAATTAATTTTTTTGTTTCATTCATTAACGAATTTTATTATAAAGAATATCAAGTGCATTTAATATTTTAACATTTTAGTGCAATTTAAAGTTTGTTTATAGAATTAAATATTAATGTTTATAACTATTGTTCAATAATTCAAGTTTATGGCACATATTTAGCTGTGCACATTCCTTTGTCTGTTTGAATGCATGCTTGCATTAATTATCTTCCAGAATCCGTTTGATAATAAATATTTATTTTGATGACACATTTAAAGTAAAGTGTAAAGTTTTTGGAATTTATTCAAATTCGACTACTTTATGCTGAGTATTTTTGGAGAATCGAAATTCGCTATAACAATTGTAAAAATTATCCAATTCGGGTTTTGTTATTCTTTGATATCAAAAGTTAAAAATGAAATTTTTCACATAAAGGTTTTTGAACATTTTGGCTTACCTTAGAAAAAATTGATGTTGGATGTATATGAATGATTCGAAAAACATTCGATCTATATCAATGGCGAGACGTGGTGATTAGTTTATGGCATAGGCAGGCCTGCCGTTTCTAAGATATAGGGCAAAAAGTGCCAAAAACTGGTAATTCAGTTTTTGAGAGGTTGGGGCGTCCGATTTAATTTTTTTTTATTGTTTCAACAGCAATCAAAACTCTCACTTTACATGTTCTATAAGCTGTTGAAGACTTATGACCTAATGTATTTTATGAGAGGCAACTCATCTCATTTACCATTCTCCTGTGTGTGGGGTTTATATTAGCTCTTACGTCTAATGGGCGATTTTCACTTGAAATTATATTGTGATCTATAAACCCCAAGTGAAAAATTGACATCAAAGCTGCCTGATGCAGGTAGGATCAGGCTTTGGCGGTAGCGGGTATCGAACCAGCAAACCTGGGCGTCTGATTTAAATGATTCAAAAAAAAAAAACATTTTGTTTGTATTGATGAAACCAGCCACTAGTTTTTAGAGTTATTTTATTGTTAGGATTTATACTTATTATTCAAACAATTTGAACAAGAACATTTTTCGAAATATTTTTCATATTACATTTTGATTTTATTGGCATTACATTATTAGTTTTTAACTTCCCGTAGGGCAAGTTATAGTAATCGTAAAAAAATCGAAAATGAAAATTTTTATATATCTTTACGATTCAAAACCTTCTGAACATTTTGGCATACCTTAGAAAAAATGGATGTATGTGTGTGTGTGTGTGCGTGTGTGTTTGTATGTGCGGATACAAATTTTTGTCGACGATTTCGGGAACACGGATGAAGCGATTTAAATAATTCAAAAAACATTCGATTTGTATTGATAAGGAGATGTGCTGATTAGTTTTTGGCGAAGGCTTTTGTAGCCGTTTCGAAGATACGAGGCAAAAAGTACCAGAAACGGTAACTCAGTTTTTAATAGAACGGATCGTCCGATTTGAATAATTCAAAAAACATTTTATTTGTATTAACTGAGTGAAGAACTGTTCATATTTTTGGAAAGGCAGGTGCACTGACTTCGGAGATATGGAGAAAAAGTAAAAAAAATGAGCCATTTGGCGGTCAAAAATAAACATTAGGCATATGCACATCAAATAATTAGATATTTTATAAAGATTTTAACAATAAGTATAAATTTTGTTTACATTCCTATGGGCTCCGTACCAATGTTTACGCGTTAGACGGCGACGCGGCGCCTACGCGCTTCGATATTTCGTCTTTATGCAGTTAAAGCAGTACGCTTGCTTTAAAAAGAAATCAGAATTTCCAAAATATTTCAAAATAAATGATTTAAGATCATTTAATATGGTTCGAAATTCTATTAAAAGTTTCAAATCATTGATCAACTTTTTTTGATTATGATTGATTATTTTCAATTACTCGAATTTTGAATTGCGATTCGGAAAGTTCCAGCAATTTGCCTTAAGGCACGATGCCTTAATTGCCTTAAAACAGAATTCCACTTACAGCTAGTTTAAAATTCGAAATATAAATTTCTAAAATAGCATTATGTGTTAACTTTTCCAACTTGTAATAGTTTTTCTCCATATATTTCAAGGATCAAAACTTTGTTTCGTACGTTCCTCAGCTTTGCCAATCGTGATTTTTACGATGCACCCTTTCTGGCATGTAGGGCTAAACGCAAGCGCATCCGATTTGCGCAATGCACTTGCTGTCTTTTTCCAGCGCGTTCGCCAATTGGACTTCCCGGTCTCGCGCCGTTTCAGTCTCTCGCAGGACGCCGCATTGCGAGCATCTCCGCGCTGTATTCCGTGTCTAACCGAAAAGTCGTTCTATATAAGTTTGTGTTTATTTTTCGTTAGTGTGTGCTGTTCTTAGTGCATTCCATGGTGCAAGGTTAATTTTTTTCTTTTGACAGCATCAGTTTGTACCTGCAGAGGGTTTGAGGATTTAGTTTGCAAAGACAGGGGTGGATTATCTAAAACACAAACATGCACGATATGGCCAGCAAGATGGCCGAATTGAAATTCGAAGCGCCCTTGGCAAAATTTGAGGAAGCGGATGATTGGATTGATTTTCAAACAGGTGGGAATTTGAAAGCTGCAGCCATAAATGACACCTTAAATTTGAATAATTTAAAAATATTGAAACAACAACAAAAATCAGAGGAGTTATTCATGAAAAAAGAGAGTGAATTTATAAAAGATTCCAACGATCTTAATGATAATGATGATTTATTTGGAGATGCCAATGATAACAACTCGATGATGGATAATAACGAAGTTAATAAGATGAAGCAAAACCAGAAAATAAATGCTGACTCGTCGGATAATTTTAACGAAACGTTTTCGGGATCCTTGGAAGATCTTGTTAACACGTTTGATGAGAAAATAACAAAATGTTTTGGTAATTACGAGGAATCGGTGGAGAATTTGGCGCCGGTTCAAATTAGGACACAGGAGGAGATCATGAACGACTGCCAGTAAGTTTGAACTTTTTTCATTAAAATTGTTATATTTAAAGCAGACTGATTTATATATTTTTATAAATAAAACTGTCTATAAAATGTCGTTACCGGCGGTAATAATTTGTGGCTTGGAGTTCAAAATAACCATTGTCATATATACCTTTATTATTTATATGTATTCTTTTGCTGATTGCTCTAGGATTTTCTATACTTCTGATTCTTTATAATACTGGTTAAAACATAGTGTTCGAGCCTCACAAATTTTATTAATTCTTCTTCCCCTACTTGACATAATAAAATAATTTCCTACCGTAGTTTAGGTACTAAGGGGGCGTCCATTAACAACGTGAGGTTTTTTGGGGGAGGGGGGGTTTGACAAAAAATCACGAAATATCACGTAGGGGAGGGAGGGGTATGGTAAGATATCACGTGTATTTATCTTTTAACTAATTTAAAAAAAAATCAAACATTTTCAAAAAAAAATTCAAAAATTTTACAGATTTATCACGTAACTAAAAATACACGTGATGTTTGGTGGGGGAGGGGGGGTAATTTTGAATATCACCATGTATCACCAAGAGGGAGGGGGGTCCAAAAATCCTTAAAAACTCGCCCACGTGATTAATGGACGCCCCTAAGCTAGTTTGACCCGAAAACATCTAATACAACTAACTAAAATTAAATACATTACATTTCTACAAACAATTTCTGAACTAGTTATTATTTTCCATTCAGTTGTTTGTTATTTCAGGTCTGATATAGCTTTTTTGATAATTATATCTGGTCCTTCGGGGTAGTAAAGTGTTCGTGTGTAGTAATTTTTTAATTGACATAAAATTAAATCCAAAAGATCGTGATTCGTTACCTTAGAAAGCAATAATAATAATATTTTTTTAAAATTAATTCATTTATTTTTATACTTTTTATTAAAAAAAACGTTGCCATTTGATTATTAATTAATTCACAGTATCACATCGAATTTTCTCTGAATTTCAGTTTAATATTTGCTATCAAAAAGTAATCAATTTTGAAACGTTATATTTTTAAAATAAAATATAAGAAACTCACATTTCATCAATTTAAACTTGATGAATACTTTTTGTGAGGTTTAACAAAACTAAAATTTTGGAAATATTCTTTAAAATTATTACATTTATTATTTAATACTGTGGTTTCCAACCTGGAGGCGCGCTCCCTCGGGGGAGCGAAAGCTGTTCTAAGGGTTTCCAAACTCCTAATTTTGAAAAGTAATCAAAAATGTTGATATAGAATTATTTTTTAAAATATTTTATCATCATATTGTATATTAATTTTGTAAATAATTAAATTATTAGTTGAATCTTTATGAAATTTGTTTTCTCATTTCTCTAAGGTCATAAGGAACCAACGTTGTGAAAATAATCAAAATCGGCAACAAATAATTTTCATCCAATATCGCAAAATAATACATGACCAGTGTTTAAAGTTTCTTAGATAAATTAAGGGGGATCCAACCATTTTTTAGAAACAAGGGAGGCGCTAAAAGGTTGGAAATCACTGATTTAAGAGACAATTTAAAAACTGCAACAAATATATTTCTACATATGATTGGCCATTCATAATCATGCAAAGCATCTAATCAATCTTATTTTAAAATAAAACATGAATCTCTCTTTAAATTTTCTTCTCCCAGTACATCACTGCGATATTCAGGCGATAGTATCATTTCCGCAAGTCGGAAACAATCGCAAAAATCATCTCGTTAAAAAAAATGGGTCGACTGTCATTCAATCCGAGAAAGGTTAATGATCATAGGTACCACATTAGTCTTGTTCGTATTATATATATATATGATTCTATCGTCAAATCTAATGGGCATGCATATAGTTTTTATTGTCTTCATTTTTCTCGCAATTTACTAACATGATGATAGTGTGATCTTTATCAGAATTTTTTTTGCAAAACTTTCTTTTCTTGGTTTAGTTCCAGGTTTTATGATTAGATTTGTGATATTAATTTGTAACAGTTTTATTTGAATCAGAACTTAATGAATATGTTACAAGATATTATAATGAGTTTGGTCGAGCTGTTTTATACAATTAAGTTTAAAATCCATATTCTTTGTATATGTCTTAAAACAACTAACCAATTTTGTATATGTCCAAACAACCGCACTACCCGAAAATTTATAACAAAAAATTATTTTCAGTTTTTCATGCACTAAAAACTAATTATTAAATAATATTTGTTAATAATAATCTAGTCCACACCGATATGAATAGAATGGCGTTATTTGTTTGTCGATATCTTTCATAGTTGCGACAAAAAACGACTTTGAAAAAAGGGGCCACTTTCACACATTTTCAATGATATCTCTGCTAATGATGAGCTACGGATTTGAAATTTGGTATATCGGATTTTTTCGAAAATACCTATAAAATGGCATCAAAATTATTTAAATACCAGGGTGGCACCAATTCTGTATGGATACACCCCCATACCCTTTAGTTCAACTAAAAAAGTACATTCAAAGTTTCAATTAAGTCATATTGTTTTATATCACATATATAAACTTATGTATTAATTACTTCCCAAGATACAAGTCAACAATATTTCTGAAGGATTTGTGCAGAATTAAGGTTCTGCATACAATTTTATTAAAATGGTCTAAAAATTATTGAATCATTAAATCATGATAAAATATGAAATTGTTTTTAAAATGAAAGGTTTATATTTATTAGTTATATTCAATATTACTTAACTATTATTATTATAGTTATTAAGACGTTCGCTGAAGTTTTTATTCATTTTCATTGTGATGCAGAATGACATGAATGCTTTAGCATTCAAATTCTTGAGTCAATTATTTGGAATTCAATTTTATATATTCTTACGTTTTTATAATTAATATACCTGTCACGGTAATGACTAACTGATTCTTAAGGTATTTTTGTATTATCTTATCTTTTCCCATTGTTATGAATTAGCTTGGGCAAGCACATTGCGTAAAATAGAAGCGTAATACTTGACGTGGATGCTATAGCATTGTTCGTATATAATGATTAAAATATGGTAATCTGACTACTCTTGTAAACGGTGTTTAATAGAATTTAGGATACCACAATTAATTGAAAAATAAAATAATTGTCAATTTTTGTTTATTGCTGAAACTTCTACTGTCCGCGAACGTACTAAGTATTTTATATCAATATTAGAACTAACTTTTGATTTTAACGACATTTTTAAATACTTTTTTCTGCTTAGTTTTAATTAAACAATCAGTAATTTCATTGTTAATTCAAATATTAAATTACCACAATTATGGATTTCACATAAGTTAGTCTGAGAATTTGCGACGTTGAAAATTTTTGCAACTGCAGAGTTTTTTATAGTTTTGTGCAATAAAATTTTCATAATATATTTTCGCATGCGTGAATAAAATTTATAATTGAATATTTATGTGAAATTGTTGGTACTATTAATGCAGTAAAGTCATGACCATATAATTTTAATTACTTGTATACATTATTTTAATTGTTGGTATATATATAATATATATATAGGTATATATATTAGGGTGGTCCTTAATATGGATATTTTCGAATTTCCTTGCTCCCAAGGGCTCAAATGGTTCCAAATTGATAAAAGAGAATTCTCTGAAAGTTTTAGCCCTTAATATTGTCTTTTAGATAGAGCGCAATTCAATCAAAGTTTTGTATAGCATGAAAATTTTTTCAAAAATTTTGCAGAACGTCGAATTTTCAATAAAAAATGACACGAATTTTCACTTTTAATTCATTTGTTGCTGAGATATACCTCAAATTTTTTTTTTAATTTTCAAAATTTTTGGCATGCTATTTCTATACGAAGTTTGATTGAATTGCGTTCTATCTAAAAGTTATTATTAAGAGCTAAAACTTTCAGAGAATTGTTTTTTATCAATTTGGAACCATTTGAGCCCTTGGGAACAAGGAAATTCAAAAATGTCCATATTAAGGACCACCCTAATATATACATTAATTCATATTCCTATTATTGAATATTGAAAAACTGAAGTAACGTTAATGCGCAATTTTATAAAAGTTCTCCAAGAGCAATTATAACCGCAATATGATACGATGCCTTATCTTAACAGCTATATTGTTAGCAAAGTGAACTATTTTCATGCAATTAGTAAATAGTTCTAATCAATGATTAATTGGTTTTTCAACGAAATATTTTAGTTCATTCATAGGACTTATTTCAATTCTTAATTTGGGATCTAAATGATAATGAAATTTTTTTTAGTACATTACTTATTGCATTCAAACTAATTCACGGTATTGTAATTTATTTTTATTTGTGATAATTGAAATATTAGAAATGTGAGAATAGGGAAAATTATTGGATTATTGTATTATGTGGTGCTCTTGCTCTCACATTATTTGTATGGATTGGCAATTTATTTATATATGTATTCTTGGTTTGGTTTGGTATCTTTATTCTACATCATATTTGAAACAAATTATATTACCAAGGAAAACTGATATAACTATTACCCGAAAGACCATAAGTCTTGGAAGAACTTGACGTAACTAATTCATTAAGAAAATTATTAGTTGTTTTAGAATTTTACGACCTAGACTAAATTTCACTGTAGTGACTTTATTATATACATAAGATGTTGTTACACGATGGATCTCCTAGTGAGCTTTTCATATGACGTTATTTTATATCCAAACAAAACAATACATGTGCTTCTACGTATTCGCCCGTTAACTTTCCCTAATATGGAAACACAGCTTTGTCAACATTTTTAAATTGCAGATTGCTCTCATATGCGTTCTGTTTTATATATGACTCACGTATGCAATAAAATCCATCAATACATTCTTTTTTATTTATACTTTGGATTTGTATATAATACTTTTGGATTTTGTTTTGTTGTTTATGTATATGATAAAACGTGCAGCGTTGTTTTCCAGATATTTGGTAAACATTACTGTCTTCTAAACATTAGTAATATCGATAATATTTGAATAAAACGTGATGTAATT